AAGTAGAAATGACATCTCTTACTCATCACTATATTCTTAGCACTGGAATACGGTAGATGCTCAAAAAATATCTATCCAAGTTTAAATGTTTATTTATGGAAAAGAAAATTAGGTTGAGGGAAAAAAAAATATGAATCAAAATTAGGTTAAGACCTTAAGCATGGGATATGCTTAACAACTTGCTTCTAAAAGAGTAAAACATGGAAGGGTGGGGTGTGAAACATGGCAAACAAAGACCTTGAAGAGAGATCAAGATTATCATCAATTTTATCATGTTAGGATGTACCCTTGGAGTAATGTGATGAGAATGGCACTTCATGTCTGTTGTCTTCCTGCCTAAAACCCATGACCCCAGTCTAATCATGAGGAAAACATTAGATAAATCGCAACTGAGGGACATTCTCTAAAATTTCTGACTAGTACTCCCCAAAACTGTCACAGTCATAAAAACAAGAAAAGTCTCAGAATTTGGAATTCTGGAACAGAAAAAGGACACTAGGGAAAAACTAGTGAAATCTAAATAAAGCGTGTAGTTTAGTTATTAGAAATGTGGCAATTCTGTTTCCTTAGTTATGACAAATGTACCATAGTAATATAAGAAGTTAACAATGAAAATGAAATGTCTCTGAGTAAGGTATACTCATGTGTACTATCTTGCAACTTTTCTGTAAATGTAAAACTAATCTAAAGAAATTTATTTAAAGAAAAACAGAGTAAGGGAAATAAGGAATGAATCAAAGTCCCTTGGAAGCAAATGATGATAAACATTCTTTTGGTCCCTTTATGTTTGGTGATAAGACAAAGATAGCATTCTACTATAGTGGAAATAAAGTTATTAATAAAACACTACTGTAGGCATTGTGTAAGTCTATAGTATTAGTTATAAAGTTACATATGACCAAAGCAAATGCCCTCTGAAATTTAGTTTCCCAAAGTATCATTCTTAGTCCTCAACATTTCATTTCATAACAATTCATAACAGTAGCTGTCAGTTCTGTATTGAATGGACTATCCCACATCTCTAATCTTTAGTCACTTAAACGTCATATTCCCCTTGCTATCTCCCAGTCACCTTACACTTAACTAAACTCACCATCTTCTTGATAATGCTCTTCTTCCAAACCTCCCTCTCAAAGTTATTTTTTCTTCAATAGATCTTTTTCCTATGCCTCTCCATCCCCAGTTAATAATTAGTAGTACAGACTGCTATCAAATGAACCTTCCTCAAATAAGGATTTTATCATATTCCCAGGCTCAAATGCAATTTTTTTTTAACTAAACCATATTTACATTCAGAAATGATACTTTCAAGGCCATCCATAATTGCTTATGCTTTTGTACCCTTCACTTGTAAAGATCCTTTCATCCATCTCTCTACCTCATACCATGTCCTGCCCTTCCTTTATTCAGTATCACATATACACAAGAAAGTAAGATTCTTCTGGGTGGTCAAAGACTTTATAATCTCCTTGGAGTGATAAAACCTAAAAAGATGACTAACAAAGAACATAGGAATTTGTCTCATTCAAAGCTGTATCCTCAGCACCAATACCAGTGCCTGCCACATGGGAAGTGCTCAAAAAGTATTTATTAAGTGAAAACAGGCAGTACATAAAGCACAGCCAAAAGAATTATATGCTATTTGAGAAGGTAAAGAATTTTCAGTTGGAGAGGTGAAGGCAGGTCTGTATTTCTGTGATTCTAAGGCTGTCAGGGCAGCCAAGACTCAAGCTTGAGTATTTCTTCAGTTGTTAAGAGGATGTGTGCAGGTGCATTTCCAACAGAAAAATGTTACACCAGCAAAGGTAAGAAGAAGTAAAATTGTTATACAACACTGAAGTAGTCAATAAAGAACAGTTCCTGAAGGTTAGTGGAAGATAAGATGGGAGAAGACTGGGACCAAAGTTTGAAAAGTCCTGAGAAGAAATTTGGTATTCATGCTTGACATAAAAGTGATACAATTTTCAGGAAGATTAATCTAAGGGGAGTAACATGGTTAGACTTTAGAAAGCAAGAGCCTTATTTCTTGAAGAAGCCTCCCTACCTAATCAAAACCCTTTAGGTTCCTTCTCCTTTTAAGCCTTACAGTACTTGCCTGCATTATACATTTTAACTCCTAACTACATCCTCTCACAATATAAATTCTTATTTTCATGGGTGTTAATTTAGTCTCTTCAACCAAAGAATAGGGATCACATCATAGACCTCTGTTTCTTATGTAAGAAATCAGCAAAGCATTGGGCCCTTGAAACTTTATTTCTGGAGGACTTTTTGCATTTGTGCAAAACCCAGTTACCAAAATGACAACAATCTAAAAGCAACACACAACACATACTGTGAGTAGCTAAGCTACCATAAGAACAAGAGTAAGTCCTGTTTGGATGGCACTTTATTTATTTATTTATTTATTTTAGATTTTTTAATTTATTTGACAGAGAGAGACAGAGAGAGAAGAGGGAACACAAGCAGGGGGAGTCGGAGAGGGAGAAGCAGGCTCCCCACTGAGCAGGGAGCCCGATGTGGGGCTCAATCCCAGGATCCTGGGATCATGACCTGAGCTGAAGGCAGACGCTTAACAGCTGAGCCACCCAGGCGCCCCGGATGGCACTTTCTAAAGTTTCATTCGATAGTCGGATCCCATAACTAATAATGTTGTTATCAGACAGCATATGTTTTCAGTGCTTCCTGCTTTATATAAGTATTTCATCACCTCATTTACTTTCTTTCTCAACCAAGCATTGCTTTCAGTGGTCAGCACATATACCAATTTCTCAATCACGTTATCTTTTCTGCACTGAAGCCTCTCCAATCTTTTTATCTATTAACTTCATTGATTGAGAACCACTGTTATGGCATAATTAAATTCTAATAAATGGCGCTGCTGTAACTTCTCTACATAATTCTTTTACACATTCTAAATGTTTCCTGTGGTTTAGCACCCTTCAAGTAAAACTGATGCAAATAAAAACATATGTTACAGGAATAATTCAAATCCACCAAAGCATTTACAAAATGAAACATCATGCATTAGTATCCAGGGATTACACCTAAATTCTAAAATTTGCCAAACTCTCCAAAAGTTTGGATTTTTTTAATCTTCAACCCTTTGACCCTTTACTTCATATATTCTCAAAATTAAATTTCATTCCTTAAAATAAAATCTGTTCATGTTAACATTCATATTAACCATTAAAACTTTTCCAAAAAGAGCTTAAGAAAGTGCACACACACAAATCAAACGGGTGTTTATTTCATCCCTAAACAAGTATTTTCATCCGTAATATATTTTTTCAGGTCAGGATTTTTATGTAAGAAGAAAACACTAAGACTTCTATAAAAGTAAAAAAAAAAAAAAAACACCCTCCAGAACATGATTGTTTCTTATCGCACTAGAACCTCTCACTAATGCTTCTGAAATACAAACGACTTTTTCCCAGAGTTGGGGAACTCCATAATGTACTACTCTATTCCCCCACCACTCCTTAATGGTACCTAACACTGCTGAGATTTTAGAGATGAATCATCAAAACAGCAGAGGAAGGCAAAAACGTCAATATAAACCTGACAAGGACTGCAAGGTAACAGAGATAAATCTTACAATTCGGATGGAACAGAGATAGACATGAACTGTTGAGCTTTTTCCACTTCCTCATCTTTGAAAACACCAAAATAAATGTGGATGCGAGGCTACAGCACGATTACAAAGCCCCTGGTACCAGTGAAGCCTCAGACCTAGTGGCGCTAGGGCACTCTATTACACTCAGCCGGCCACGTGGCTGTCACAATCAGAAGGAAGACAGGAGATACAGCACAAACTAACCTGGAAACAAATAACCTCCCACTTCCCTCCACCTCGGAGTTGGGGTAGAAGAAAGACTGTGCTGTTTCTTTGCACGCTAAGACTTTTTTTCTCTAAGGTGAAAACGAAGTACAAGGGCTGCTTTAAATTAAAGAGACAGAAATCAGGTCCAAGAAGATCCCGGGAGTGCACCCCACTGAATTCGCTACGCTCACTCCCGCGAGCTGAGGTGGGAACAGAGGCACTTTGCAAAAGGGTAAAAGAAGTGGAGTTGAGTAAGAGTGGAGGGTGGAGGGCTACGCACAGGGGCCAGCTTTCCCCTGACTCCCACCGTCCTCCCGGGTTTCAGACTCGCTGCTGCTGCGGTGGGGCGAACCCAGCAGGCGGAGGGCCTCGCATGCGCCCTCACGACCTCTCACCCTCCCAGACACAAGACAGAAAGGCAGAAGTAACCACGGGCCCAACAGAGGCGACGAACAGGAAGTGTCCATACTGCAGCGCAGAAAAACCCTAACTCGCACCCCACCAAGACAGCCACCCGGCGAGGCCCCCAGGGCGCCCGCTGGAGGAGGGGCCAGAGGGTGCCGGGGTCGGCCACCCCCACATCCGGACCCGCCCCTGTCCCCCCGCATCGCCCAGCAGTCCCGCGGCTTGAAGTTCACTCCAGGCAGCGTTCGGCGCCTCCCCGGGCACTACTTGGCGGGGCCCAGCCAGGCCGCCTGGGGCCGGACCAGGACTCCACGCCCGGCACGTCTCGCTCCACTTCGAGGCGGGGGAGGAGTGCTGCACACACACCCGAGGGGCTTGGGGCACTTCCTCTAACAGCAGATTCGCCCTGAGTCGAGCCCTAAGCGTCCTCGGGGCCACCTCCGAGCCTTGCCGGAGAGCCGGCACCCGCTCCGGGGCAGTCATTACCTCTCACGAAAAACTCCTAACTCCTCACGGGGCCACGCTCCCCTTAGTTCGACACCCCCCGGGAGCCCACACAGTACCCAAGCCGCGCGCAGGGGAGACCCCCGTGCCGGCACCAATTCCTGACAGGACAAAAATGTCCGTGCGCGTCACGGGACAGCCGCCTCCGCGCCCCACGCCGGCCGCACGCGCTGCCTCCGCGCCCGGGCGCTGCGCCTCGGGCTAGGGCGGAGAGCGCGGCCGCCCGGCGGCGCCCGCCCAGGAGAGCGCCACTCCGCACGGGACTCACCGTCTGCTCGACCGCCTCAGCGGGGAGGCGAGGGACGGGCAGGGGAAGACACAATATGGCAGAGCACCACAGCTGCTCCCGGCGGCTTCCAGCAGCCGCCTCCGGGAAGACGCGGCAAAGAGCAGGCAGCGGCAGCTGCGGTGGCGGCCGCGGCAGCACCACATCCCCCTCCCGCTCGCTTCCTCCCCCTCCCTGCACCCTCCCTCGCTGCCATGGCAACGCGGCGCCAAGGCTATTGGCCCCGCCCCTCCCTCTGGTCCCCGCCTCTCGCGACCCCTTCGGAGGGGGCTTACTCCGCCCCTCGGTGTCCCCTCCCACCTCCTACCTAAGGGCCGGCCAGGGACCGCGCAGGCTGCTCTGAACTGCTGGTGGGAAGGAAGGGAGATGCAGTGTCCGGAAGGGCGGGGTTCGCACGGAAGGCAGGGCGGAGACGTTGTGAGCCAGTGCGGGTTTCGGACTGAGGAGGGGCTGGGAAGGCGGGAAAAATGGAAAGGCCTCGCCTGTCCGGGAAGGACCTATAGGAGTGCAGCGGGGCGCGGCGCGGCCCCTGAGTGGCCGAGATGGCGGGGGGCGGGGCTAGGGCGACCTCCCCTGCCGGTCGGCCCGCGGAGCCTGGTGCTGCGAGTGCAGCGAAGACCCCCAACAGCCGGAGCTTCTGTGGGTTTCCTCAAGAGCTTTCCGCCATTGGCCAGTCTTTGAAAGCACTGTAGGAACGGTAAAACATTAATATGAACTAAAAGTAGTATTACACTCACTTGACTGAAATTTTAAGTGAAAACTGAGCTCAGCGTGGTTGTGGTGAAAAAAAAAAGGACTTTCGAAATCAGATACAAAATTTAATAAGCATCGCATTTATTGAGCCCTCACTAAGTGCTAGGGACTGAGCTAAATTTTTGACATGCATTGTAATAACCATAATGCTAAGATAGCATTGCCAGATAAAATAGGAGTGTCCAATTAAATCAGAATTTCAGATAAATGCAGAATAATTTTTTTAATAAGAATGTTTCATTTGGGGGTACACTTCCTGGTTTGTTTTGGTTTTTGGTAAATCTGCAAACCCTATCCTAACTCTTACAAATTCCCACTTTACAGATAAGGAACCCGAGGCTTAGAAAAATAACCTGACAAATACAAGGTAAGTGGCAGAACTAAGGCTCCATTTTACTAAAATTATGATCCTGACCACTAAATTTCTGAATATATCCACATTTTCAAAAACTAGAGTAGTGATACCTATCTCACAAGTGTGCTGAATGGATTGAAAGAAAAGGTAAAGAGACCTGCATAGTGACTGATGCATAGGAGATTCACATTCTTCCCGAACAATGAATGTTAACTGAATATTCACTATGTGCCAGGCCGTGAGTATAAAGTGAGCTGATTATGAAACAGGCTGCTTACTGACAATAAAACAAGTCAAGCTGTGGGGATGACAAAGACACAGAATTATAGGCATCAGAATGTATAAAAACAAAAATGGAAGTGTTCAGCCCTCATTCCACAGAGGAGAATGCTGTGTCTATATGATTTGTCCAAAATCACCTGCCAGTTCCATTTGTTGCTCATTACACTGTCCTGAAAGGCCTCATAACTGCATTTAGAATAAGAGGCCACAAGGCAAATATACAATAAGCTTCAGTTAAAGCAAGAGTTGTTTCATTTTCTCCCTTAAGAGCAATCACTGTTGCCCCCTCATGTGGACAAATTGAAAGAAGTTCCTGGAGGAAGAATGTAGCAGAAAGGGAGCAGAGGAAAGAAGGGAAGATTGAAAGGAGGTGGCTTCTGGAGAGCCACAGCCTTCTCATACCTTAGTTTTGTTTTATCTCTGCTAGCCATGGTGATCACTAATATAATACAGGTCTTCATCTCCTTACAGATTATTGTAATAGTATCTTATTTGATATATTGAACTTCAGTTCCTATTTTTCCTTCTAATCAATTTTAAACTCAGGTGACCAAACAGTCCTTCTCAACTCTAGAAGAATCACAGAATTTGAGATCTGGAATTAATATATACTTTAAAGATATGGCATCAGGAGCCCAGTTTATCATGGATGCAAAAACAAATCCAGAACAGTTATGTAACTTGTTCAAGGTCAAATAATGAATGTACTGCATTGGCATCCACTAAGATCTTTCTGCTGGTCCTCTCTACTGACTGATTCAGTAGAGAGGCTGGGAACATTTAAATAATCTCTGTGTATAAGGCTCAGGTCCCTTAGGAAATCTGTCACACTTAGTTTAGAGTCCAGGGACACTTGTATACTTAAAGGCTATTTTAGAGGACTTTGAACACCTATCAAGGAAAAGCTCTGATTAAAACTAACGATGATTCAGAGTGAGTAGCTTTTCCTAGGAGTTTACAAGAGTAAAAAGGCTATGAAAGCACAGTTTAACTCTTTAGGAAAAAGAGGATCCTGGCATTTAAGATCTCTTGTGAAGTTTGTATTCTTTGTTCTCCAAAATACTTTAAAGGAACATATTCAATAATAAACTTCCCTGGAAGACAAATGCATTAGAAAATATATTGTTTGAAATGCCCTCATATTTAGGCTGAAAAGTGAAAGGAGCTCAAATATACATGTTTACATTTTAAATGTATTTATCATTGTATTACATATATTTAACAAAGCCTCTCTGATCATGACTTGGTGATTCTAAAAATAACCAGTTTACCAATAAGGAATGTAGGCTTCAAGCCCCTTGAGGTCAATGGCCATATCTTTTTCATTCTTATAGTCTAATTTCTTGGAACAGTTTTTGGGACAGAGGTGATAGTCAGTAATGTTTGTTGATAAAAGAAGTAACTTTTCTCAAATTACAAGATACCAGGAATAGGATACAATAGTCCTAAGTACTTGTCTGCCACTTGGGCTAAAAAGATGGAATTGTGAATGAAAGTCTATTTTTTTTTCCTTTGAGGATCTTTTTCAATGTACTTCCTAAGTGCAACTACCTGTATTTGATAGTACCTACATTTCTTTTTTTTT